ACTCCAATACTCTCTCATCCTCCTGGACTGTTCCTCTCGCTCTTCCTTAGTCCATTTTCTCCCTCGTCTCTCCCTCCCACCTACAAGAACCCCAACCCTTTCAGTTTTTCCCTAAAAAGCTCTCTATCCAAGCAATCTTTATCCGTGATTTTTAGCCTGTCTAGTTCCTCTTTTATTTGTTTTATATATCCCCCATACTTTTATAGCTGCAAACTTTGTCAAAAATTTTCTTGTTCAGTCTTTCCCTATTCATCCTGACCAAGTGCCCGTAGAACCTCAGTCTTCTGGTCCTGACGACTGTTTCCAAATCTTCCAAATTTCTGTATATTTCTTTATTGGATTTTAGCCTGTATCCCTCTTGCATTACCTTGGGTCCGTGAATCATCCTCAGAATCTTCCTATCAATCTTCAAGATTTTCTCTAAGCTCGGAAGGCTGACTGTTTCCATAGCATGTAATATTACAGGTATTGCTACTGTACAGTAATGCCTTATTTTTGTATTTAAGGACAAATTTTTCTTGTTGTAAACATTCTTGGTGGCGAAGTTCAGTCTTTCCAGTTTGATTATTCTTCCTTCGATTGATGCCTTATCCGTTCCGTTACTACATATTTTATGCACTATATAATTAATGTTATATTAATATTTTACAAATTGAAAATATAATATAATAATTATTACACGATTTTGTGGAAAAAATAATTATCTATTTCAAACCCTGGTAAGATATTTCGAGAACTAATGTGGCTCACTCTCAATCCTCAATTCGTTATTGGATAAAAACTATTGGAATTTTTTACATTCTGATGAACAATTTTTATTGAGAAAAAAATACATTTTGCCTCAATTAAGGGCATTGAGTATTTATGATGAATGAAGTACAATCATACCATATATACAATAAAAGAACAACAAGATTATAAGAAAATAAAATAAAATAAAACTTGGAGTAACAGAATAAATCAAACATGATACAACATTAGATAAAAACTAAAATAAAAAAAAATAATAATAAATAAAAACACATTCAAACTTATTTACAATATTTACAGTCAGCCGAGGGAGCTCCGAGTCGGGCCTTTTCCCCCACGTCTGGAGGACAAGGCAAGACTCCAGTGGGATGGGAATCCAGTGGAGACTGAGAGAGGGCACTAAAGCCACATACGCTCATGACTTGAGTGGAGAAGCTGGCCATTGCCAGGACTCCAATGATGCCAGGCCACTGCCGCTTCAACCTTCGAGGAGGATTGTAGGGATGACTGGAACTGGATAAGGATTGTGGTAATGGATTAGGATGATAGGTTAGGTTCTGATGAAAATTTGAAAATCGGGATGGAATAACGTCAAGGACATAAGGGATGTTAAGGTCATGATGTAAGGTTTTGTTCGTAACATAATAAGGAGCATTGACTATTATACGGAGGATTTCAGACTGGAAGGATTGGATGCGTTTGATGTTCGATAAATTAGTTTTCCCCCACAGTTCAAGTCCGTAGGTCCAGATGGGTTTCAGTATGGTCTTGTATATTAATAGTTGGTTTTCAATTGAGAGATTAGATTTTCTGTTAAGTAGTCTGTATAACTGGCCAAGTCGTCGGTTAAGCTCTTGTCTTTAAAGTCTGGGATGTGGGTTCCATGTTAGTCTTTTGTCTAAAAGGAATCCAAGATACCGAACTGTGTCTGAGGTCGGAAGAGGTACTGAGTTGAAAAGGATATGTGGACAGGATCTGCGTCGGAGGGTAAAGGTGACATGCTTGCATTTGGATTCATTGATCTTGATGCGCCAATTGTTGCACCATTGTTCTATTAGGGAGATGTGTCTTTGAAGGTTCAGGGATGCTGTTTCAGAGTCTGAGTGGGAAGACAGGATGGCGGTATCGTCAGTAAATGTTGCTAGAAGAGTATTAGGAATGGTTGGAATGTCAGCTGTGAAAAGGATGTAGAGAACTGGGCCCAAGACACTGCCTTGTGGAACACCAGCCTCAACTGGATAATAGTTGGATAATTCAGTGCCGCAGCGGACTTGAAAGGAACGATTTGAGAGGTAGGATTTGAGGACTAGATACAAGGATTGGGGTAAGTGAGTTTTGAGCTTGAAAAGCAAGCCATCATGCCACACCCGGTCGAAAGCTTGCGCTACGTCCAGAAAGACACTAGTGCAATATTGCTTGTTTTCAAGCGCAGAGGATATATGGTCAACAACGCGGAGGCCTTGTTGAACAGTGGAATGTCTTGAGCGGAAACCAAACTGATGGGAGGGGATATTGTGGGTTTCGAGAATGGGTAGGATACGTTTGAGAAAGATTTTTTCAAAGATTTTCGAGAGGGTCGGAAGTAAGCTTATTGGTCTATAGGATGAGGTATTATTAACAGGTCTACCTGGTTGAGGGAAGAGGATAATAATGGAGTGTTTTCATATGAGAGGAAAGTGAGTTGTGCGGAGGGTACAGTTATACAGGTATGTGAGGAACATGATTGCTTTTTTGGGAAGTTGTCTAAGGATCTGGGAAGTAAGGCGATCGTGTCCAGGGGATTTTCGAGGTTTCAAGTTGTTTATATGGAATTTGACCTCAGAGGGGTTGACAGCTTTAGGATGCAAGGAGAGAGGAATCGGTGAAGAGAGGAGTTCTTTAACTTCAGCAGTGTGGATGGGATGGAGTTCGGTGTGGGGAGTGAATGTTTTGGATAGATGTTTGGCAAATTCTTCAGCTCTAGTCTCATCTGACGAATCTCCAGGTTCCATCATCTCGTCGGAGTGGGTGGGAAATATATTAGTATTTAAGGATTTTTTTGGTCACTTTCCAGAGGGAGTTGTCATCGGTAGAGAGGGAAGAAAGGTAGGAATTGTAGGATTGGGATCTAAAGGTCGTCAGTTTTTTTAACCTGTTTGAAATAGTAATTATATAATTTCCGATCATCATGATGCCTGGTTCTTTGCCAGAGGGTCCTAGATTGGCGTTTGGATTTAATAAGGTCAGTAAGGTTTTGGGGCAAGGGATTCTTTTTGAGGGATTTTTTGGAGGGGAGTGGTGAGGATGCAGTGCAGACTGCTTGTTGGATCAAGGTGGTGAAGGAACTCACTGCATTATCTAGGTCTTGAGGGTTTTTTAGAGGTACTCTGAGGTTTATTGCGTCTGTTATTGTTTGGCGGAAAAGGTTCCAGTTGACTGGGCCTCTGATGAATGAGGGAGGAGATAATTTGGGGATGCGGAAAGGGTTAGGTTTAGCGGACTATGGTCTGAGGAAAGGTCATCGAGCCGTGAAATTGAGAAATTTAGCGGCCCTAGACCTTTGTGAATGATGAAGTGAAGGAGGTCAGGATTACGGTTAGGATCTGTTGGCCAGTATGTAGGAGTATCAGGAGAAAGGATGTTGCTATTATGGGAATTAAGAGCAGACAGCAATGTTCGCCCGCGGGAATTCGTGGTTCTGGCTCCCCATTGCTGGTGTTTGGCATTAAGGTCTGCACCTATAAGGAAGTGGTGTCCTAGGGAATTAAGAAAGCAAATTAAGTTAGGTTCAGGTATTGGTTTTTTAGGTGGAGAGTATGCTGCGACAACTGTAACAGGAAAAAGTGAAGTTTGGATAGTTATTGCTGAGGTTTGTAGGAAACCGTGAACTGGTAGGTGATACAAATGATGGGAGAGGGATTGGTGGATGATTACAGCAGTGCCAGCATGTGCTGTTCCATCAGGGTGGTCAGTTCGATATATCTTGTAGCCAGGTGTGTTGAACTGTCTTTTGTTAGTTAGTCGGGTCTCAGTTATTAGGCCTATGTCTATGTTATTGTCCTGTAGAAAAAAGTTTAGTTCGTTAATGTGATTTCGAACACCATTCGCATTCCAAAGGAGAATGGAGAGGGGTTTTATTGAGGACATTCAAGGAATTCTTGGCGGTGGAATAAGATTGGCTATGATGTTTGTAAGTAAGGTGATGAGCGGGGTGATGAGGGATTTAATTTCGGAGAGGAATGATGTAAGGAGGCTGGTAAGGTCATTGGAATTGTTAGAGGGAGGAATGTAGGATATTTGGTGAGGACTGAACTTTTGGGTGTTATTATATTCGGGTGGTGAACCATGAGGTAGTGGCTGGGTTTGCGGCAGGGCCTGAGGTTGAGAATGCTCTTCTACTATTGGAATAAGGTCAAGTTCTTAGCATTATTTCACATATTCTACATCGCGTAGAATTTATTTTTCTTCACAATGTTATGAATTTATTGTTGGTGAAATTGAGAATTTCTCTGACGAAGTTAAAATATACTGAAATATAAACACTATATCTTTCATTATAAGTTTCAATATAAATTTATAAGTTTAATATAAAAAGGACTTTTTAAATCGTATTTTAAAAGTTCAAATATATTTGGAAAAAGAACTACCTGCTTGAACATAAAATAAGTCTGTTCGTGGTTAATGAAATATACTGATGTACTAATTAGTTAAGTAGTGTAAAAATAATATTAGCATGGTAACACTAGCAAATCCAGGAATTTTGGGATGCTTCAGCCCGAGAGGTTTTTTTTTTTGTATATATAACGATGATTAATTTGTAAGAAAAAGAATGAAACTAACTACCTATAAGAAACGGTGTTTAAGTGATTCTTGAAGTCCTATTAAATGTAATAATACAAATAAAAATAATTTTTGATCAGACATGGTTATATTTTACCATTGTGGGGGGAAGGTCTTCAGCCCGATAGCTCCCTCCCCTCTCCCCTTGGATTCATCTATCCATGGTAAATTAAATCCATGCACATTAGAATGCACATAAGAAATAATTTCAATCGTATTAATTTATTATTATATATTTGTATACTTAATGAATTACTAAAATAGAAGATATGACGAAGTAATCTCTGATGACACAATAATGCATTAATTATTGAATATATGAATATTTTGACCATTTCAAGTCAAATCATTGCTTATTGCGATTAGTGTAACTAAGGAGGTATAAGCTATCTTGAAATAAGTCCATTTAAGTAATGAAAAAAAAGTAATACCTTGCGTAGGAGCTTCACTACGGCAATACGATGACTATTCATTTGTTTTACTTTCTTTTTCATTGCAGTGAATTTTTTAATTTTTGGTGCGACTCTTGCAATTTTTATCCGATACAGGCTTAGCGACGAAATCCAGTGTGCCAGGACCCCTCCACCACGGTGTGCCTAGCGTCAAAAACATATATTTATCACATTCAATGAAACTAATTAAAATATTTGTATCCTAACGTCGGATCACTAATGTATTGGAATTCACCAATTAACAATTTGTAATTACTCCATTGACAAAAGTTTCTTCTCTACTTTTATAATTTTCTATTAATACTACACTTATAATTTTCTTCATTATTGAAAACATTCCAATACAAGAGGAGAAAAACAGCTTAAATATATATATATATTTTATTTAATGTGAAAACATATACAAAAATATTAATTTGTAAACTGTTATGTTTCTGGTCTAATCCACTACTTATTTAGATGAAGTGGAAGTTAAGCAACAGGATATTCATATTAGCATTAGGTGTATATTTCTATTGATTCCAGATGGAAATCTAACAGTTCATATTGACTTCTCTATGTTTTTGATAAAAAAAAAAAAAATATATATATATATATATATATATATATATATATATATATATATATATATATATATAACAGACCTGCGACATCGCTTTGAAGCTAAAATTCGTATCTAACAAAGTGCGTTTGATCTGATTTGCTCCTGTTGCTGAGAGTTTTTCAACTTTGTATTTGCGTATCATCCTCAAAAAATCCAACGCAAATGCTCTGATATATAGTTGTGTGGGCAAATAGTAATCGTAAACAAACTGACCTGGCCGAGGTCCTGGAACCTGAAAATAAGGTATGTTAGGTATATCCTAAATTATCGAACCCTAAAATGGGAGAGAGATTACATCATATTCAAATTAAAAAAAAAAAATGTTATTATTCCATAGAAAACTAAAGTATCATAAAGAAGCCATTCTCAGGTTTTTTTTTCCATCAATTTTTGCAACGTCATCAGGAAGTAACTCCAGGCTTGAAGTTCTCTCATTTTAAGGTACTAATTGTTTGAATTAAATTAGGATATATATTTTTTTTTTCTTTTTTTATATATATATATATATATATATATATATATATATATATATATATATATATATATATATAAGTACGGGTATTTGTATATATATTTAGGACGGCAAAAGGTCTTTAAAGTTTACAGAAATATCTGTACCCCGGCGGTTAAGAACACCATAACCAGATTTGTATTTTTTTAGGAAAGCCAATTTTCGATAAATTTGAGCTGTTAAAGTTTTTTTTTATGCTTTAATGCGTAAAATCCTAGGATAATCACCCAGTTATTACTTTCACTTACTTATATATGAAATATATAGTGAAGGAAAGTATTGCGACCGTGAAAATTTTTGAACCCTAAATAGACGTTTTGAGGTTCTCTGTGTCCACATATAAACATAAATAAAAACGAAGTTGACAAGTTAATAGTATTTAATAAAACAATATTGACATTTGGTATTTCTAGATGACACTATTAGATTTACACATTATAAACCGAAAAGAACTATTCAAATTATATGTCAATTATAATTTAATAAACCTAAAACGTGATAAATACCTTTACTGGTTTTAGTCTCAACAATATTGCAAATGCCTTTGCCAAAAGGCTCAAATTCGCAGAGGGCTTTCTGGGTCCAACTAGCTGCAACAGACCCCTCGTTCTTACCTTTGCAATCGGTATACACCTAGTGCGATACCTATGTTTCTCTTGACCTGAGGAATAAACAAAAAGCAAATAATAACTTCAAAATGTTTTCATTCAGTGCCATTATTAAATGAAAAAAAAAATGTGATTATTCTTATATTTAAAAAATGTTGAAATATATAGTTAATTATTCAATGCTTGCACAACTGCAATAAAATTCCTAAAATAGGCCTTTATCTCAGAAAATGTAAGTTTAAGTATAATTATAAAATTAATAACACAGTTCAGTCTTATATCAAGCATTGAACCGATTTTGTCTCCTTTCAATGAACACTGATTACAACATAACAGTTATACAACAATTGAGTCCTAATAGAAAAAAGTACTCACGTAGTGAACTATTTATTTGTCTATAGATCACCTTCATTTTTGCTATTATGATCTTCATTACCTTTTCCATCAATTTGACATATTTAATAGCTCTTTGGCCTGCGGTCTACAGATAAAAAAAAATTAGATTTTTATTTTTATAATTAAACATTTTTTATGTATAACTTAAGAAGATAATCATTAAAATCTCTAAAAAAAAATCATTCCATTTTCTTATCTCAAAAAATATTCTTAATTAGAAAAAATAGATAACGTGAACGGTTGTGTTTCCGCCACGGCTCCCAGATTTTAGTTGTTTTCCAGAGTAATATCTGTGATTTTTTCAGCTAGTACAGGTCAAGGATACATCAGAACAGTTATATTTAGTGTGTACAGCTAACACAATTTATTTCTATATCTTTTTCTAAAATTTGTATTTTTACTCCGTTTCCTTCTTCTTTTCTTGTGATATGCGGTACTATCATAGAGTGATGTCCACTAAGGCACCTACTAAAAGGTCTCGTGCAGACGGATCTACCCCTCGTAGTTCACCAGCAAAACAAATAATTCGTAGCAACCTACGTGAAACTCTTCCAGTAACCAAACCTGTAGAATCTGAACCTCAGCCTCAACCAGATACATCTACACAAGAAAAGGTCGAGGAATCATGTTTCTTTACTCCAAACCCGTATCAAGTGCTTCAAAATGACAGAGAGGTAATGGAGTCAGCTGCAATACCCAGAGAACCAAGGCCTCCTCCGATATCTGTGAAAAATATAAAGAATTTTTAGTTGTTGTGCTAAATTTTCGAACATCAAACGCATCCAATCCTTTCAGTCTAAAGTCCTCCGTATGATAGTCAATGCTCCTTATTACGTCACAAACAAAACCCTACATCATGACCTTTAGATCCCTTATATCCTTGACGTTATTCCATCCCGATTCTCAAATTTTCACATGAACCTAATCCACCATCCTAACCCTTTAGCACAATCCTTATCTAGCTCCAGTCATCCCTACAACCCTCCTCGAAGGTTGAAACGCCTCGAGATCTCTTGTAAAGACGTCACTGGGGTTCTGGCAATGGCCAGTTTCTCCACTCAAGTCATGAGTGTTTGTGGTTTTAGTGCCCTCTCTCAGTCTCCACCGGACTGGTAATGCCGGCTACGCGGTTGAGAGAGAAGCGCTGGGATCTCATAGTCTCGCTTTGTCCTTCACACTTGGAGGAAAGGGCTGGACTCGGAGATCTCTTGCCTAATTGTAAATTTTGTATTGAAGTATGAACGTTTTTTTATTTATTTCTATTACTTATAATTTATTTAATTTTGCTTCGAATTTCTGTATTTCATTTAATTTTAACTCTAAGCTACATTTCCTTGGTTTATTATAGTTTTTGCCTTTGTTATATAGATTTTTATATTTTTTTATTTATTTAGTTTTTATCATTTTTTTTTATGGTATTGTATATATGGTATAAATGTGCCTCACTCAGCCTTAGTACTCAGTGCCCTTAAGTGTGGCAAAATGTATTATTTCTCAATAAACAGATATAAAAAAAAAAAAAAAAAAAAGTTGTGCACCCAACTAAACAAAATCTGTTCCGGCAGTAATTCATGTATGAATAAGTCCAATGATACTAAAATTGTTTAGGCAACTTTTCGAATTGATTAAAATAACTATCATGAGTTTTTAATAGGCAACATTCAAAATTATGGGCAACATTCTACTTTTATGCAGTGAACTGTATTTTAATGAATTGGTAGGTTATACTGATTGTGCAAAAATAGCTTACCATCTTTATGAAGCTTAAATCTTTTGATTACCTGAAGGCCCTCAAGTGCCGTTGTTGCTGCTATCTCCGTGGCTACCAATGGATGAATGGGCCAAGAAACCAACAGTTCTTGAGGATTGAGTGTTATCTTTTAGATCTTCTGATCCGTCCCCACCACTCGCCGTAACGCGGGAAATTCAAAGCATTATGGCACAAAAAAAAAAAAAAAAAAAACCAAATACTGGTGGAACTTATCGAAAAATAGTGAAATATTTATCAGAAACGAAGGTAAATTTCCACACGTACCAGCTGAGGCAAGAGATAGCATAGAGTTGTGATAAGAAATCTGCAGTCCTCAACCCCACCTGAACTGGTAAAGGAGGAACTAAGATCCTATCTATTCTAATATATCTAATCATCAATATCCTTACCAATATCAAAGTTCTCACGTTCCTCCTCCTTCAAATGCCACAGATTTAACCAGCTTGTTGGCATCTTTTCTCACCGATTTTAAATTCCTTGTTACCCCACTCATATCACTCCTTACAAATCTTGTATCTCACATCATCCCTCCATTAAAAAATCCTTAAATGACTTCCACCAAATCCTTATCCATGCTCCTTTGGAATGCGAATGGTGTTAGAAATCATACAGACGAACTATCTACTTTATTACTTGCCAAGAACATTGATGTGGCACTAATTACTAAAACTCTACTAACAACTACAGAACTCTTCAAAATACCGCAATATTTGAGATATGATAATGACCATCCTGACGGTAGAGCACATGCCGGCACTGCTGCCATTGTACACTAAACCCTCTCCTATCTCCTACTCAAGATTTCCTACAATCCACCGCCATTGTAATTAAACCCTTCTCATTTCCCGTCACCCTAGCATCTCCTATCCCCCTAACAGATCAATATCCAATGTCTAGTTCAGTTCTATCCTTAACTTTTTAGGACATCATTTCATCCTGGATCCAGACTTAAACGCCAAGTATCAGGAATGTGGTTCAAGAACCACGGATTCTTGTTGTATATCGTTGATTTCTGCCCTCAATTCCAGATCAACAGACCAACTGAACCTAACAGCAAACTTGATATTCTCGATTTCTTTATCCACAGTCTAGATTTATCCATAGTGTGGTAATATTTTTATGTCCCCAATTAGTGCTGCCCAAAATCCTGGTCTTAGTCACTCTACAACACCAAGACTAAGACTGTTAAAAATGAATTTAAAAAAGCGTTTTTGTGAATAAAAAATAAGGCAAAATTGTTACTAATACTAGTCAACTTTAGTTAATATAAGTAAAGAGTTGGTAGAACCAACATACTTTTGCATTTAACTCTTTCAATTTTTCAGTAGGGGTTTAGTTAGGTTTCTCCATTCTAAAAATTGACCGTAATATCTTTATGATAACATTTTTTAAAAGTTTATGAAATTGCCGACAAAACTATTTAAAAACATCGTCAATCTTAGACCAGTTAAAGCAACGTTGAATTGTATTTAATTGTATACACTGATTTTAATAATTTTTCACTTCCCCGTTTACATTGCTTTAGTTCTTCAAAGAAATCGTACTCTAATGATTTCTCTGATCGGTTATCAGGAAAATTACTCTAATTCAATTGTGTTATTTTTGAAGAACAAATTTAAAATTGAAAAAAAAAAATCATTTTGTAGCTCTGCTTTAAATTTATGTTAATTAAATCTTTTGATACATACCTTGTAGATAGTAAACTGAATCTTTTGTCTTGCTAATAGTTTTATTAAAACTTTTACAAAAGCACATTTAAAACGAAGTTCTTGAACTGTGTATTCAATGTAATCGACAGGTGCCTTTAATATGATTAATCCTGAAAAATAAGTATGCATTAGTAATAATGTAGAGCCGCTATATATATATATAGTTTTTAGGCTGAAGCCCCCAAAATTAAGTCGTGTTAAGGACTCTAGGTGGTCAATAAGCAATACTGAGTGAACTCCGATAAAGCAAGTAAGATGCAGGAGAAGATCAAACATGAGGTGGAGTAATGAAGAAGAAGCCAATTGGATGAAAGTAGCCAGGGACAGAGAATGTTATTTTAAAATTAAAACAGATAAAATGAAAACATTATGTTATTACTTTATTAAAGAATTTTGAAGCTTTAGTTTAAAAAGGACATATTAAAATTTGATTTCCTCCGTTTTTTTATGTATCTTTTAAAAAGTGTTGTATGTTTTGTTTTATCTTTTATTACGTTGCTTTATTTGTATTTCATTTCTATTCATTATTATTGTTATCATAAAAAACATTCATTCTGCATTATGCATTTACCACTAGCAGTTCGACAATTTAACTTTGGGGAGCTTCATTCCGATAACTTTCCAAATGAATGTGTGTATATATATATATATATATATATATATATATATATATATATATATATATATATAAACCTGTACTACAACCCATGAAGGGTCTTTGATTCAGTACTATTTAGGGAAATTCAGTACTATTTAGGGAAAACAGTGTTTGTTGATCAACATTTGTCCAAGGAGGTGATTTGACCGAAATCACGCTCAACCACCAGGTTTTCTCCCTTAATTAATTAGTTAATTATGGTACGCACTTTATAGAGGCTGGATGTGCCCAAGTCCAATGAAACAGAATAAGTAATTTTTCGGCCATGAGCCGGTATTCGTACCTGGGACCTGTAGAATTGCAAGTTCAGCTCCCCACTGGGCTATCTCCGTCCCTCTATAAATACATACATTTATATATATATATATTTGGATTTTTTTTATATATATTGGAAAAAAAAGAACATATTGTCATTGTTGAATTATTTAGGTTTAATCAATCACATCAACAAATACGGACCAAAAATGTAAAAAAAAAATAAATCATTTTTGAATATATAATAGTTGACCGTTGCATTATAAAGGAAGGAGATGGTCCGGGGTGGCGGTCATAAAAAGGCTAAATAGTGGCAAAACTATTTTATTGAAAGCCAACGTTTTGACCCGACTTAGCAGGTCTTCTTCAGTTCTAAATGAAACTCCTAGCTGAACACACCTCCCTATAAGAAGACCTGCAAAGACGGGTCAAAACTCATCATAAATCATTTTTCTATTTAGGGAAGGGCTTCAGCCCGAATATACCCTCCCCCTTCCCAAATCATACATCCAGGAATATTATAAAACATGTTAGAACACGGCAGTGCAGTTGGAACAACAATACCTAGGCAAAAATATTTAGGGTTGATATTAAGTATGATTAAGGATTATCATTAATTAGAAATAAGAATGGGGTTTTAAATTAAGGTCACGTGGGGAAGAGTAACTAAGGCAGGTAAATGGTGAATTTTGGTTTAAAACATAAAATTCAAAAATACTGTGCAAATTTAGTGAGCAGGAACAATCGTCAATTTAGCATTTTTTAAAATTTCCAGGTTCCCCTTAAATTAAACATTACATAAATGAAATTACCTTTATTATAGTTATTAATATCTCGTTGTACTTTTTTCAGTCCGCTTTTAATCAGATTTACATACGAACTCAAAAATCCGAGAAAGGTAGATGGTAGTATGTGTATAATTTTGCTGAAACGATTCTGAAAATATCAAATATAGAATAAATGTAGGTATATATAAAAAAATAAATATTTAATGATTCATAACTATATACAGGATGTTCCGTAAATAGAGGGATATTTTTATAGGAGTGAGGAGCAGATCTCATAAAACAAAAAAGTTTTATATGGGCCAATTTTCAGCATAAAAATAGGAAATCTAGGAAAAATAGGAAAATAGGAACTGGTTTTTTTAAGTAAGTCGTGATTTTTATTGAATAGGAAGCAATAACTGAAAATATATTAAATTTAAGAGATAACTTTTAAACAGCTAAACTAAGCTGAATTCTGTTTTTAATAAAGTACTAAATTATTCGCGATGTTTTTGTTCATCACCCATCTATACTGAACATACTCCACTTTTACAATAACTTCGTGTTTTCGGTAACAATTGTTAAAAAATTACTACAACAGTTACCAAAGCTTTTATTTCATGTTTTCCCATGACCTGGGATGCATAATAATTTTAATAAAAAACAAGTTCAAAATAATGATTTTTTAAATATTTTACAGGTAAAGTAATTATTAAACTGTTTGTTTCCCAAATTTTAGTTATAGGAATTGATCCGTATTTGTAAGTGATAAATTGAATGTTACCAACTATAATATTCACGTTTTTATGAATATAATTGAAGCCATCAGTCATTTTCTTTGTTTAAAACGTAAATTTTAGGACTTGAAACACAATTTTTTTCACTTGTATATGGATATGGATATACAATACAATATGGATCCATTGCTTTTACAGAAATCTGATAGAAAAACACAGTTATCATTATTTTTTATTTATTTTTTCACTAATAGAAATTGTATTTAGGCAATAATGTTTATTATAATACATCCCAGCTCATGTAAAAAGAACAAATAAAAGCTTTACTACAGTTAAGTGTAGTCATTGTTGCTGAAAACACGGGTACTTCAGATGACATGATGAAAAATTATATAATTTTTTACACAACTTGAGGTGAATCTCAAATTTTTGCCTAATAAACCTCAACTTAATTAATACGGATTTTAAGCTTATTAAACAAGGAAGCTTTTGTAAAAGTGTGGTATCTGTGGTATAGTTGTTGTAGTTGATGATACAAAAAATTGCTAAAAATTTATGACATTTTTAAAAACTGAACTTAGCTTTGTTTAGCAGCTCAAAAGTCTATATGTAGTTAAAAATGACAAACAATAAATTCATTTGAAGTAAATTTTGTCCTGTATAGAGTAAAGCAATTGCTAATTACTTAAATTAAATATTTCTTTAGTTATTCCTTCCTATTCAAGAAAAAATATGAATTACTTAAAAAAAACTTGGATATCTTACTTTGCTGCTAACAATTGACCAATTGTTTATAAGAACTTTTTTGTAGCTCTCAAGATCTGCTATCACTTCTATACACTTTTAAATTACTATTATAAAAGAAAGGTATTCAATTTGTAAAATGCTTACATAATAATTACTTTTAAAATATCATAAATCTAAATAAAAAACAATTTTATTATTGACAATGATAATGTCAAATTTAATTAAAAAAAACAACAAATAAAAAAAAAACAGTATGATGACCCACAAGCTTGGGTTGAAACCCATAACTTCTTAAAATGTTTCATATATGCTCTTCTTCTTGGAATAAAACATCTTCAGTATCAAGGTGACCTGCTGCGGTGATATTGTTATTACTACCTGCACTGTTTTGTGGTTGAGCCAAAAAACAGTGTAAACCACAAACAAATGTAAACCACTTCTTCGACACTCATAATTTATTAATATTACAAATGTTTTATACAATTTTATTTGGATGGTTGAGGTAGAGGAGGATCGGGTAAGAAAATATATTTGTTAGGGTTCTGTCCAATGACAAACGTCCAAGACAACTTAGCCTATACATGCTCAAGCTGGTGCAACCTCTTCGGATCCACAGATCGATTCTAGCCGTCTGTTGTTTTTGAGTGCTAGCACAATTTTTCAACAAGCTACATAGTTTTTCTTGGTTCACTAGTTAGTCAAGTACGAATTTTTATAGCAATCGAAATATTATAATTGTTTACTCCACATTTTCAATTCCCAAAATGTAATAACTTCAACACGACTCCACATATCCACACGAAAAAAAAGTAAAGAAAAAGTATAGGTAGGAATTCAGGGTCCTATAAACTCAATGAAATGACACAAACCAGACCCTCGTAAACAATTTAGAACTCGAAATATAAAATAAAAACGTTCGGGGATTTTTTTTATTCCTTATAAAGGAGTGAATTTAAACGTTATTTATATAGTTCGGAATCGCAATAATTCAGCTTTCCTGTGGTAGCTGTATTGTTTAATTGGAAGGAAACCCTGAAGAGTTATGGATAGGATGTACACTACTACTAAAGCGGCAGCACAACTCTCTTTTAGTTTTTATCAAATGGGATAGATAAGAGATTTATGCTCCATCACAAATCCCAAGACCTTTGCTATGTCTCATTATTTGTACTTGCACTAATAAATTTATATAAATTGTAAAATGTTTAATTATGATTGCCAAAGAAGTGGTTTACATTGCTCAACCACAAACAGTGCCGATAGTAATAGCAGTATCACCGATGCAGATCATCTTGAAACTCACAGGCGGATCTGTGAGGGAGGAGGGAGGAGAAGTTTTATTTAATTTTGTTCCATGTTTTATGGAATAAAATTTAAAAAATCATCTCTTAAAGGATTATTGTTCGTAGAACTACATTTAATAGGACTTCAAGAATCACTTCAACACCATTTCATATAGGTAGTTATTTTCGTTCTTTTTTTACAAAGCAATTATAGTTATATATATATATATATATATATATATATATATATATATATATATATATATATATATGAAAAAAAAACTTCCGGGTTGAAGTCCCCTCTCCTCCAAAATTAAATCCAGGATCCGCTAATGTTAAAGCTGAATATGTTTTATTCCATGAAGAATAGCACGAGAATACCAATTTAAGAACTGATGTTATACGGTATAAACAATAATTTATCCACTCCAATATTAGTATTTATTTTAAATACTAAACAATCAAAATGTTGCTTAATTGTCCACTTAAAATATAAATAAGTTCATACAGTTTGTACTTTTATTGCTTTATTAGGCACTCTCCGCTGCAAACACACAAATTTCATAATTATTTATTTTCCATATTTCCTGGCATATATAGCTTATGATATTAAATAATTGCCAATAAATGAATTTTCTTAACCTTTCCTCCCCTACCTTAACCAACCAAACCTGACGCCGATTTATATTATATTTACGCTACTTAGTTCCTAGTTACTATAACCTAAACTTTACAAAATTACTAAATGATTAACTGAGAATATTATTATGTTGTCAGTTTCAACAACGTCTAATTGATTTGATAATAATTATTTTTTTTAGTCATCCAAAACGTTCAACAAATGAAATATAACCTTGAAATGGTATTACTTCTCTTTAACACCGATAATTTCATGGTATTTGGAGAAATTTTTGTTGTTGAATTGGATATTAAATAGATTTTCTCCTTTTGATATATCTGTATTCTCAGATCCTTACTAGTACTCAGACAGGACCAGTATTTGGATATAATTACTCATTACAGTTTTTGTAGATTGAATTACATAGTAACATACCTTGCCACAAATGTCGGCTAATAAAACCGCACTTTTATGAATAGAAGAGCCAGCTTTAGCAACACGAATGAGCAGATCAGGGAACGTCTTCATCAGCTTTGGGCCGTGCCTAAAGAAGGAGCACGCAACACTCTGTAAAAAATTAAGAGTGATCAGAGCCTTATAAAATCTACCAACAACTAATACTTAATTTAAGTTTATTTAAAATAAAAGTTAATTTAATTTTATTATTTACAGCAAGAACACAACATGATCAATTAAATGGAAAATATATGAAATGAAAATAAAATAAAAATGTTTAACTCTGCCGTTTTTACTGCACTATTTTCTATAATATCTTTAATCCTTGTAGTACGCAACCAATTTACATTGTAGTAATACTACCTTGTAGTAATTAACCAATTTTCATTGCTAAAGTGATTATACATTTGTTATACTAATTCTTTATCTATGATAATGAGAGTGTAATAAACATAGTTCTTGCAATTATGAAAGGAGATTTAATTCGGAATGGATTAAGCTGCCTCCTACCCCACCATAATCGGCCCTCCCCAATATTGTTTCCTCTACTTCATTCTCATATATAGCTGTTCAATATCAGCTATAATGCACAAAAAGACAAGATGAGGACATTGGAAAAAAATAACCTAAGAAGTCTAAGAGGATGAATAGGTTAAATCAGGCCCAAACCCCCCTATTTGGGAATTGAGTATCCTTCAATCTCATTACCTGTCCTCTCGAAGCGGTTTTGAGCACTGCGATCAGCTCTAGAGAGGTGAAAGAAAAAGACACAGATAAGAGGTGCCCCGTCGATCGTTGTGCATTTCGTTCGAACGCGCCACCTGAAGGTGAAAAGGGACTTCACCACCAAGCACCTCGGCTAGGAGAGCCTCTAAAGGATCTGTATTAGTGGAGATATAACTTTTTAAAGAGAGTTATGATATTGCCTCATAACATTCCGCTTCGGATTTCCCAGGCGTTCTCATGTTTCCTGTTGAAGTGGCTTTATCCTGTTTTATGGTGGTAAAACTTTCAAGGTGTTTTTCTCTAAGAGGCCCTTAGAATTATAATATCTTCCTATATCCTAAAACTTCTTACTCTACATTCCACTATTTACTCTCTAAACACAAAATATCAACCTATTCATTTATATATTCTCCCTTATAAAAGTACTTCCTTTGTCAAATGTTTCACCATTCGTGATACCTGATACTGAAATAATTTAACCATCTCTATTCATCAATCTTCCTCATCTTATTCCTTAAAACATAATTCATTCTTTCACCTACTTCATAATCAAATAAAAGTTAGGAATATTAATTTCTATAACAATTACTACTAGATATTTGT